AACAAATTAAAAGGAGACTTTGGTTATAGGTTAGGCAGTTGAGTTTTATTGGTGGCTTGTTGAGTGTAGTGTTTTTATTGTTCTCCAACAAGCGTAGTTGAATTATCAAGCAAATTTTCATTTTCGTTCAATTCCATATAATATTTTTTTTCCATTTATATTGAATTGGCAGGTTTTGTTATAATTCCATGATAACGAAAGTTACTTTTCCTGTTAGAAGGATGTAACTTCAACTTATTCACGTGGCCAGATCGTGGCTTGGCATTCTGTTCTCAGGGTTGTACTTAATGTTTCGAAATCATGACTAGCGGGGTAAGATCGGCAACATAAAGCCACATTAGAAGCAAAGGATAAAAATCAAACAGATGATAAATGAAAACATGTTTGCATTTGTTATTCATGTATATATGTCTTTGAACTTGCATTTCGTTGTAATAATATTAAATGGGTGTTGGATTTGTATTTCTTTGTTTTAATAGTGAATTCCAACTTATACATTGTTAATAACATAATTTTATATACGTGCCTATCTTGCCCCATTACTGTTGCCCCTATACCAGGGGCAACTTTAATAAAAATAATTAAAATAATTACAACTTTACAAAAAGAGAGAAGTTGCCGATCTTGCCCCTATACCCGGGGCAACTTCGTCAATTTCTCTCTTCTTGTAAAGTTGTAATTATTTTAATTATTTTTATTTCCAAACTGATTTTAACCAGTTCTATAGTAAGGTAACATTCCAATAGACAATATGCAAAGCTTTTTTTTCAGTTTACAGCAGTATTTATTACACAAAATTTAAGTAAAGCTTAACATGCCGATCTTGCCCCGATCTCCCCTATGTTGTATATATATTTTACAAAATACTTAAAATATATATACAACACATCAATGATTATTAACGGAAAATATACAGCAGACAGGTGTATTTTTCCGATTTTTACTTTTCCGGCTGTCATATATAACAGTGGGAAAGTATGGCGATCGGTCAAAAAATTACCCCCCCCCACGACTTTTACATTTTTGACTTAAGACACGAGAAATGCAAAAAATTCGGGATTTTTTTTTATTTGTTATTGTATGTATGTGGGAGGAGCACGATTTTGTTCACCCTCTTTAAAACTTAATTCCTATGCTTTTTGTCGAGAATTTTTGAAATTTTGCAGGGAAGTTTGTTTATTAGGGTGATTGATGCTATTAAATTTAGGTAAGTATAGGTGTTGGGAGTGGGGAGATAAAGAAGTGGTCGTGTCATATCTCGAGTAGGATCAGATTTAATGACGATTTAATTCATTATTAGCATTTACAATTTTTTTTTTTTTATAAAACCCATCCCTACTCCCAAAATTACGCTTTTTGCCATTTTATGATAATTTTATGATAATAGCTCCACACACGCAGTTTTAAATGTTGCAGGAAAGTTAAGCAACTCTTGCTGGATTTTTTTAAAATAAGTAACTCGATACACATAACAATAAGTAAGCCTGAGGTTCTTATTGTTCATTCATCTTAACAATTTATTCGATTCTCCGAGTTAAAGAAATTCCCGGAAGATCAAGAAGATTAGCAAATAATTCATTTTTCTGTTCAGTATTAAGAAAATATTTATTTCTCCTAACGAGTTGAGAAATACTCAAACGGACAACAAAAAATTTAAAGTATTTGAATAATTAACGAGCATTTATTAATTGTGACATCGTCACAATGTCGGACTGCAATATTTTTATCATATTTTAGATAATTTTTTTATTTAAAATATATGCTCTTTACCTCAGTTGTGGTTGCCCTTGTACACACACTTCTCCTTTAGCAATAGAGTCGTGCCAGTCAAATCCTTTCAGGGGAAATTTTTTGAATTGAAATCATGTGACTTTCGTTGCAAACCGGAAGTTCGTATATAGTTAATCGGGTCTTCCTGCCCCAATATTTTCATATCTGGCCTCGGCTTTCACCTATCTAACTCCATTCTCGAGATTAAGGAAGGGCAAACAGATAGGGAATTTATAGGTCTACAATTTTTTCAAATTGCAGCCCAATAAATAGTTTTTTATAAACAATCTTATTGCGGATGGTCCGATAAACCATACTTGCCATTGTAAATGTCTTTAAAAACAACGTTTAAAGCTCCAACAAATAAATTTTAACTTTTTTCTTCCAATGAAGAAGACTTAAATTATTGTAACCCTCTATCAGTATCCTCTACCGCAGAGGTTCTCAGAGATTCTCAACTTATTTTTATCACGAAACCCTTTATATTTTAATAAAAAATGTTGGAAAACTGTAGATATCAACGAATTAAAGCATACTAAGTAGCCATTTTTACACCAAAACCGAAACCAAAAGTAAAACTATAAAACTACAATTAAGAATAAAATCAAAATTAATTAAACTGCAATTACAGTTAAACTTTTATGTTTAATAGCATAACTGATGTAACAACTTATAAAGCAGGATATAAGAAACTCGTAAAGTCAAACTCAGCATCTACGTTTTTTCATTTAATACAAAATAGTAAAAGTAATAAAACAAAATAAATTTCTATTTTTCTTCGATATATCCGGGACACTCTGTCCACGAAAAATTCCTGGCATTGCTCAATCGAATTCGATCCGGGTTAGTGCAAAATGAAAATATTTATAAATAAAATGTTTATTATTTATAAAACTATTAGACGCAAACATTACAGAAATCATTCCTGTATATACACATTATATAGTCTTTCCTATTTTATGATTTTGTTGTTCTTTTTCTATAACACATTAACGCTGCGACTGTTTCAAATATTAAAATTAGAATATAAAACTGAAGCAAGTTGTTTAGATTTATATTTTCGGTTTTCCAAATCTGGAATAATTTAACTTGTCTAACTTGTATTAAAAAATAAAGTTGTAATTAGTGAAATAACTTATAATATATTGTCAATCATATTTACATTTATTCTGGATAATTATTGTCTTTCTCATCTTGTATAAAACATTTTACATCATTAAACAACAAAAAATAAATAAATTTTATTAACATTTTTACATTAGTTAAAGATGAAATGCTATCTTACTTTGTGGAGATATACAGGAAATTAAAGGAATGGGTTCAATGATAAGAATGATTATAATATAGATAATATCTAAAATTTAAGTAGGTATATTTAAATAAGTTTTGTTACAGCTTTTCTTTTCCCATGTAAAACTTGAATGTATTTCTTTAGATGTTTATCCTATAAATACAATATCCTAACAGTGATAATGACAATTAAGAACTGAAAATGACCAAGAGTCTGAGTGCGAAATATTTGAAATATTAACCTAAGAAAACGAGATTTTTGTCGTGAATTTAAAGACGTTGGTTTTGTGACTAAATTTCAATGTTCTTCTTATTATTAAAACAAAATGTAGTCACAAAATTTATGTCATTGGGTTCTTCCAAAAAATTCATTATCCTACATCTTCAACACAGACCTTTAGTCATTTTCAATCTTATTTTTTTAAATAACCTTACATTTTAAACTAAATGTAGTAGATTATTGTGATACGACAACGCAACACATGGAAGATCTGCCAAAGTGAAGTGCCTCCCGGAAAGAATTCTATGGGAAACTGGTTCCTATTTATGTATTACACAAACGAAAAAAATCCGGAAAACTCCACGTGACCAACTATTAGTGTTCAGTGTTTATCTTTTCGGTCATTGATGGGCTTTTAAGCTGATCGAAACAATACTGTTTTCTGTTAAAACTTATCTAGGCAATAATTAAATATTTTTCCTAATAAATGTCCTAATTCGATGTTGTGGTAAATATCAGTAATTAGTGTTTATTACAACATTTACTTAAATTGTTTACAAACACTGTTTATGTGTACAAACCTTATTTGTAGTGTTTATGTCATTCATCAGTTTTTAAAGCGGATTCTCAATATTATGTTTTTAACGATCAGCATAAAAATTACAAAGTTATGAAAATAAATATTGAATAAATTATTAAGTATTTAAGTTATATAAGGTAATTAAATTAACTAAGTAAATGAACAATTATTTATTGTGACATCATCACAGTGCCAGGTTGCAATTTTTTAATCATATTTTTAACTTATTTAACATAAAATATATGCTTGTCACTTCAAATTAGTAGTGTCTTGTCCCTTTTATCATACTTTTCCTTTAACAATAGAGTCGTGCCGGTCATCTATCCAACACCTTTTAAAATGACGTGACTTTCGTTTCAGACCGGAAATTTGTATAGTTATTGGGACTTCCTGCCCCTAATGTTTCCATGTCTGGTCTCGTCTTTCATCTATATAACAACCTTCTCGAAATTAAGGAAAGGCAGACGGACGGATGACAGTGAGAATTTATAGGTCTACAATTTTTTTCAAATTTCCTCTCAATAATCACAATAAAAATATAATATAGTTCATAATAACAATAATGTAGGATAAAGAAAATAAAATTTGGTTAATTTTTCTTTAAAAGATGTTAGACAGATTACTCTATTGTTAAAGGAAAAGTATAATAAACATGGTCAAGACACTATTAATTTTAAATGAAGAGCATATATTTTATGTTAAATAAATTAAAAATATTATTAAAAATTGCAGCCCGGTATTGTGACGATGCCACAATAAATAATTGCACGTTAGGAATCGAATTCAAATTATTATTGAAATATTATAAATTTCACTAATAAATTCAGAATATACTGTATGATAGTGCTAAAAAAAACTGTGTACTCGTTCCTTGTCAAAATTTAATACAATAATGTTTAGTNAGTCATCAGTTTTTAAAGCGGATTCTCAATATTATGTTTTTAACGATCAGCATAAAAATTACAAAGTTATGAAAATAAATATTGAATATGGCAAGTTATTCTTTATAATCACATTAAGTCCTAAATGTATAAATAAATTTAAAAATAGTTTATTTAACACTTTTTTTATTGGTAGAAATTCTTTCTTTTCAGACTATTTAAAGTGAAGAATGACAAAAATTAAATTAAATAATGTAAATAATTAGGCTAATTTGTATGAAAACTTCGTAAGTATTTTTATTCTATACAAAGAATTGCTTATATTCGAAGATTAATTTTAATAAATAATTATTTGAACAAAAAATGATATTAAATTAAACAAAATTCTATATGTTCTTTGTTATTTAAACGATTAATATTAATATTATAAATGTAAAAGAATTAATACTTAATTAATTCATATAACTAGAATTTACACTGTATTTTTATTTTAATCATATTTTATTTTTTATTTCGTTTATTCGTAATAAATTTAATATTTTATTTGTATAACAATGGGTTAGCGAATTAAATCCAGCATTGGGAAGGTATCTATAATAAAAAACAAAACAAATTTTGCTGAATTGTTAAAACACTATAAGCGAATGGTCTTCAATAGAAGTTTCAAGGGTATGTATATATTTAATACAGTAAAACCTGTGAAAACCAGAATTACACGGAACTCATAAACTTTCTTCCTTACGCAGATTTTCTCCTTTAAACAGACTAAAAAAGTACACATGTTTAAACAAATCTTCTCGTGTTGTCTCAATGAAAATGTAGACTTTTAGAAACAATCTTGGATGGTTTGGCAATCTCTCTTAGTCATAATTAATGGTGAAAAGCATGCACTTGCAGTTGACGAAGAATGCCTCTACATAAAATCTAAAAATTTTTTGAGTAAATTAAACTAACACGAAGCCATTCAATTCCAAATCTTTGCGTTAAAATGTCCATATAACTGGCATATAACCCACTACTGGCAGAGCGGATGAAACTATTGAACACTGGTAGAGTCTTCCGGGCTTTCTTCACGTGTCTAACACTTGAATAGAAGACAGTTTTGAAAACTTTTGAAAGAAATTTCCTTTCGCAGATTGTTCTTCGTTGCCTTATTTTATGAAATCAATCAAGCACAAATTTATTTCGAAAAATTTAAGATTTAAGTAATTAAATACATTTACATTAAAATATTATACATAATATTTTGTTGTATAATATGCAATTACTAATGTTATCTTTGTAGTTTTATATTGATTCGATTATTAAAACGTTATAAATATGTGATAATAAAATATAATATTTAGATTGTAAAACATTTATTGTATCAAATTTGCCACGTAAATTTATTTAATTATAGGCGAGTTATTATAATAGCATCTATATTTACGATACTTGTTTGAAAAACCTTAAAAATTCTACTGAAAAAAGAACACAGAATAAAGTAGTTTTTCTATTTGACATCACTTTTAATGAAACAGCAATATTGAATGTTTTTCCCATTAAAATTTTCATTAATATTTATTACATTTATGAAAATTGTTTTGTAAAAGTCTTCCTTTCATCTTGAAATAAAAACAATTTCCGGATAAGTAATAATTTATATCTCATTTGAAAGAACTAAAATGATTTATTAAATCAATTTTCGTCCTTAAAAAATAATTATTAGATTTACAAATTTTTCTAGTTTAGGGTTTATTTTCATGAAATCTTACAACATTTAATAAAGTTTAATTTATCTTATTATATAAACTAAAATTAATTTAAAATACGAAAACGATTTATATTATTATAGTTTATAATAATTATTTTCATTTTAGGAAAGAAACATGAAGAAGGTGATTTTATTCTTACTTTTTGTCTTCTTATGTGGTAAGTAATGAATACAGAACGAACATTATGTAAAATAAAGTAATAGATATTCTTATAATTTACTATTAATATCGTATTTTATAAATATATTTCAGAAGCATCAGAATCGCCAATTGCTGATCATTATATGGACATTTTAACGCAAACGATTACAAGAAAAAGAGAACATGAAACGATTAATATATACGATTTTACCGTCTCGAAAATGCATACGATTGGAGGGAAACTTATACAATTAAAAATAGATTATACAGATTGTTTAATGACCGGCTTTTATCGAGTTAAAAGACATGGAAATTGTTCTCCTATTTATCGAAAAGATACCTCACTTTCTTTTACTTGCTACCTTGAATTTTCTGGCATTAGTTTTCACTATTCTGCAATCGTTTGGAACGTTACTTCAACACCGGACGATTTGCAGTATCGTTATAAATTGCGTTATGACTATACACCATTTTATGCTAAAGCTTCTTTTAATACACGCTATTTATTTGATTTTCCTGGAATTTATGATTTCGCTTTAGATAATAATGCACCGGTTAATTATACTTTGCGCACTTTTGAAACAACTAGGGTGTTTAGAAAAGTTGTTGCAGAAATTTTACCAGATTATTCAATCACAGCATTCTTAAGATCATTAAATAGCCGCTTTGTACCTAATTTTGGTGGCCTGGCATATAGAATCCCTGTTTTAGAATCAGCTTTAGGTGTTGTTCTCTATCCACCAAACTAATAATAAAAATAATGTTAAATAATATTTATAAAAGTGCAATAAAATCACGGTAAAGTTTATCTGGAAATACATTTTTGGCTTATGTTTTCTCTTAGCTTTTTGAGTTTTTGATGCGATATATCATCAATAAAAGTTATTTTACTATTTCCTTAAGAGTTATTTTTGTTTTTAAGCTTTAATTCAAAAAGGATATAATTTTTTGGGCTGCAATTCAAGAGAATTTTAAACCTATAAATTCCCACTGCAGTCTGCCAGTCCGACTGTCTTTCCTTAATCTTGCGGAGTTAGATAGATGTAAGACGAAATCAGATATGGAAACCTAAGGAACATGAGGCCCAATTAACTATATACGAACTACTGATGTAAACCGAACGTCATGTTATTTCAATTCAAAAATTTTCCCCTGAAAGATGTTAGATAGGCACGACTTTATTGCTAACGGAAAAGTATGATGTACAGGGGCAAGAGACTACTAATTTGAGATGGAGAGCATATATACGCATTAAATTAAAAAATTATTAAAGATGTGATTAAAAATTGCAGCCCGGCATTGTATGACGATGTCACAACAAATTGTTCGTTTTAAATAAAAATATTAATACATATATAATTACCCGAACATGAATGCTTACTGCAGCTAATAATAATAATAATAATAATAATTTAATAAAGTCGTCTCTCCAAACAAAAGCCATTTATATTGTTTTCTTCAGTGACCGTTATTCAGAGATTTGATTGTATGTCTTAAGTACAGTACATTCCATAAATGTATAAAACGTACTGCAGTTTTACAAATTTTCCTCAGAATCGGTCAAATCAAATATAAGCCTATTCTAAAAATGATTTAATCGTTAAAATAAAAAAAAAAACAAATAAATTAAATTAACTTTATAAGAAAATTAAAAGTAAAATTCTTTATTAATTAATAAGTACAAATAAAAAATATTCAGTATAAATGTTGCTGTTTATATAGCCTTTCTCTGAATAAGAATAGAGCCGATGTTTATTATTCTACATAATTATGCAAAGACAAGTAGAACATATGTTAGAAAATTATATTATATCCAATATTTTTCAAGAAATTTGAGATTATGAAATAATGTATGACGTTGTGTGACTTTTTTGATCGCCATTACGAAATAAACTTTTTTTTTTTAACGTATTCGTTTGTTGGAATTAAATTACACGAGTAGCATCATTTAATAATTCCGAAGGCCATTTTGTCCGCACGAATTTACTGATATCCTTAGCGAAAAGACCGGATTTTCACACATATTTTTTGTAGTATACTTTGAAGATGTAGTATTAAGAAAATAATACTTAAGAATAATTTTTCATTTTTATTAAATTTACATAATATTTGAATATAGTTCTATTTTTCATACACATTCGATCCAAAACATGATTTCAGAATAGAAGACTTAGCAACCACTCGACGATATAACGGCACAAAATCTGTATTTAATGCAGATAAAAAATTATTTATCGAATATTGAACTAAGCCATATTTTGCAAATTCCTGAAGTTCTTTCGGGATTCTTTTATCTTCGTGTATAGTATAATTAATAGATACGTTATTAATTAGAGAAAAATATTCGATTGAAGGCACACAATCAGATTGATTGATTGAAGTTTTAAATTCTGTTATTGCATGAAAAGGTGTAGAATTAATGTAAATTGCAAACGATTTCACCAGCAATTTTTCTTCAGCAGAAATTCTTCCAAAATAATGAAATTCGATGTCATAAAAACTGTGAACACAACTGAAATTAAGAGTATTATTCTTTCGAATAATTGAAGTGCAATCACCATATCTTTTAACATGATACATATTTATTATCCGTGAATGAAAATATTCAAATTTGACACCTATGTTTAAGTTTACATTTTTATATTTGAGAATATGATAAGTTGTCAAATTCTTCATATATATTGCTCTGGACCCTCCACTCTTTAACACTGATGCCATCACTTGGTCCATATATATGTTGGAAATTGGTGATGTCTTATTTCCAAATGCATCTATTATAGAAAATTTTGCTTTTATTAATTTAAAATATCTTAAAAATAACTACGAATAAATTAAAATATAAGTAATACGAATTACATAAAGTACTTACAAGAAAATGTGAACAAAAGAAGAAATATAAACGATTTCATTATTCTGAAATAAATATAAAAGTTTAATTAAAATGATAATAGATTGTTATCAATTTTATATAGGTCTATTGTTACTAATATTTGTATTTACTACAATGTGTTTATCTTAATAGAATGTTTTCAAACAGTTTGAAAAATTTATTAAAAGTTTTATAATAATAAATAAAATACGTAGGCTATTTTTTTTCAAGCTCCGATGGTTCATAAAAAAGACAAGTGTAAATAACAAAATGAATTTATTACCAAACGTTAGGTACAAAAATGGTTACTTTTTCGACATAATCACTGTGAAGATTGAGGCATTTATAATACCTGTGGACGAGCTTTTCCATAGAATGTTGCCGCCAATAACTTGAGATGGGCCCTAGCGTTTTTTTTGAAGATCATCATTAGTCTCGAACCTACCCTTCATTAGTCTACCCTTCTAGCCACTTTTCCTGTTCAGGAAAGAATTGGAAGTCGCTCGGCGCTAAAGCGGGACTACATGCTGGGTGTTTAAAGGTGGTGAAGACTTCCACCTTTCACACTTCCACCCAGCTTAAAACTTTTTAATGTGTGAAGACTTCCACCTCTTTCCTGAACAGGAAAAATGACTAGAAGGGTAGAAGTTCGAGACTAATGGCGATCTTCAAAACAACGTTGTTAAGGCCATCTCAATACACTGGCGGCAACATACTATGACAAGAGGATGAAAAAGCTCGTCCACAGATATGACAAATTCCTCAATCTTCACAGTGATTATGTTGAAAAGTAACCATGTTTGTACCTAACTTTTGGTAATAAATTCATTTTGTTATTTACACTTGTCTTTTTTTATGAACCATCGGAGCTGAAAAAAAAGACAGCCCTCGTAGATTAAAGCGTTAAGTAATTGTGACCAGACGGTCGTCACCTCTTTAGTGCCTCGTCAGGACTGTGTCTTCTAGAATAGACACAGAAACCTTAAGTGATATGATTCGGGATGGAGGAGGATTGAGAGACGGCGAATCGGAAAAAGTGCATACTACTACTTAATTAGAACGAGAAATAACCGTTTATTTATATACATTTTTACACAAATACATAAAGTAACCGAGAATTCTCTTTAACTTTCTAGTAGCAATTTAAAGTATCTATAGCTATATAGCGTAATCTGAAGTTAACGGATTTCTGACCGAGAGAGAGAGAGTTTACATTTATTTTTCGCGTGGCGATAAATACCTTGTTCCGTCGATTCTTGAACTTCGTCGTATGGTCGTGGAGCGTGTGCACCCGGGTGGAAAAGTTCAAGTTCGTGGGAAAAGTTCAAGCTTCTAGATGGAGAAATCCGAATAGGGTTCCTGGAGGGAGAAAGAACCTCGATTGTCCAAAAAAGGGAGCGACAGTCGGGGGAACGACGGAGGCGGATGGGATCGGCGATTGGGAAGCACACTCGAATATCCTTTCTCAAGGAGGGCGATTAGCGAACTCTCGGACTCTCTGTTTGTCCCCGAGTCACTCGTTTTTTATACCTCCAAATCACGTTATCTTTTTTCACCAATCGGGAATTTTTGAAAGTAGTTCCCAGTGACACATTCGATGAGTTCCTGGGAAAGGAAACGACTCCGGAGAGAGAGATGTAATCATTCTCCGGTAATAAAATGGAAAAATTTTTTGAAAGACGAAAAATGAAATTTCTATAAAACTTCCTCAGGTCCGGTCCCTCACACAATAACTATTATTTATTTCAATCTTTAATTCATTTTATTCTTTCATTTTACAATATGCAATGGAATTTCACATTTCTGATAATTTTGTTTTATAATGTAAACTAGCGAAAGTACTCGAAATTTTTCGGAAAACTGTGAGGATACTAAATCGAATAATTTTGTTATGGCTACATAATGGTGTTTAATATATAATGGATGGATTTCTACAAAAAGTTTTAGAATATACATATATAGACTGATTGACAAAAAAGTTACGCACCAAGTAAAAGGTATTGAGATCCAATGAAACTTGATTAGTCGAACGTAATGACAACGTTAACAAATGATTACATTATCATTTTAAAAAACTACCTGTGGAACAACAATATAGGCTAATTTAAAGCAATCGTTCTTGTAAGGCAGAAGTGCTTCCTCCTGTCTGCATATATATGCGACAATACAATCAGGAATGAAGACATACAGACACCGTATGCTATTTTGCGACAGTATTGCAGCTCGTAGACGCCACCTTAGGCCATCTGGAACTCCAGATGGCCTAAGGCGGCGTCTACGAGTGGTCCACAAATGCTTGATGGATGATAAGTTTGGGCACCAGGCAAGCCAAGAAATGTGTGAACGTGTCGAAGATATTCCTAGGAAACTCATCATATGTGCAGCCGTGCATTATTTTGCTGGAAAATGGCTGTTTCGAAGCGCTGCCATGAAAAGCAACACGAAGGCGCAGGATTTTCCGAACGTATCGCTATGTCGTCAATGTCCCCAATACTAGGGATGACCGACTATTATACGAGATAGCTCCCCACTAACTATGACACTCAATAATAAATGTGAGATTGAAGAGTACACGAATAGGCTACACTCTGATATTGTACTCGTCCGTTTCCAAACGAAACAGGATTCGTGGCTAAAGGCAATATGCTGAAAGTCTGTAACAGTTCATGCTTCTCTGTTAGGCACTACTGCAAACGAAGCCAACAATATGCTAATGATAAGACGCGTAGCGGTCGCCGTGCGTACAAATTTGCTTCTGCTACTCGTTTGCCAATAGTTTATAATAGATAGGGCGCTGTAGTAAGGCTTCCACCTGCTTCTGAGTAGTGGGCAAAGCTGTTCCTGATTATCTCTTGACCATATTTCTTGATAGTCTGTCTGAACTACCAGAGCCTGCTGCCATGTACTGTACGTGTGCTCTGATGTATCCATTAACCCAAACACCTCCTCAAAGCCAGGTGAAACGACCCAAATGGCAGAGAATGCGGTGAAACGGCCATTCTGCTTTCTTCAGTCCGAAAATATGGCATTTCTCAAATTTTGCCAGCAGTGCGTAATGTCTTTGTCTGCATTGTATAAGCTTGTATGGCGTTCGAAGACTCCCAAACAACATTATTATAAGATATTGAGGTACCGATTTTAAGACACTCTGGTGACATTACTTGATATGCATTTGGGCAACTATAGTCATTTACATACCTGTCTTAGACTTAGTGCAAGCTTAGTTTTATAGTAATTAGACGATTCTATCAGGCATAGTCTTTCTGCTCAAGATGTGTTTTCGATTAAATTTCGGTTTAATTTTTTATAATTTTTCAAATTTTTAAAAAAGTCAAAATCCCATATTGGGCTGGCGTAAAAAAGGAAGAGTTATAGCGTTAAAAATTTTTATGTGAAGTTTAAAGTCAGATATTTTTAACTTTAAGCATAAATATGTATTATTGTCGATAAGCGAGTTAATTTTTGCAGTAAGTACTTTAAAATGGTGTTGAAAAGCTCCATTCCAGCTAAATGTAATTCCCAGGTATTTTATGTCGCTGATGATTTCTAGAGATTTGCCATATAGATAAAAGTTTTTTCTTAATTAGATAATTTGATTTTTATTCCGAAAATAATTATTTTCGTTTTTGAAGCCTTAATCGATAAATGTAACGATAAGTATTTATTTATGCTATCGAGTTTATGTTGTAATGTTATGCGAGTTGGTGCTAATAGTACTAAATCGCCTGCGTATAAAATATAGTGAAAAATACGACCATTAATATATATTCCTTATTAAACAAATTATGTCATTTATTTAGAAATTAAAAATATACGGAGAAAGAGGTTCACCTTGAAGTATTCCACGTTTTGTAATTATTTCTGTACTAAGTAAGTTGCTATTTACAATATGTAGTTTATAAGAAGAAAATAGATGCATAATCGAATATGAAAAACTGTTACATGCACCATATTGTTTTAATTTATTAACCAGAATCAGGAACATGAACAGAGTCAAAAGCTTTGGTGATATCGATGAAGACAGAATAAATTTTCTTACGTTTTTTTGTAAATATATTTGAATAATTGAGGATAGCAACAAAATAAAAAATTCTGTACCCCTGGATTTGGTAAAAGCGTATTGAAATTCAGAGTTAAGATTCATTTCCTGGGTCCATCGCTGAAAACGGTTTACTAACATAGACGTGAAACATTTCCCTAATACCGGAAGAAGAGCAATCGATCTATAATTTTCCTGTTCCAAACGATGTTTTTTTTTGTAGATCATAATTAATTTCGTTGTATTCCAAATTTCTGGATATTTAGACGTTTTATAAAAGTTAAATGAGTCAAGCAAAATCTGTTTGCCCGATGGAGGCAAGGATTTGATAAATTTGGAAGTTATTAGGTCAATGCCAGGGGCAGATTTTAATTTCATTCTTCGGATTAAATCCTCAAGTTCGTCAAAAGTAAACGGCAAATCAAACAAATANTAATAAGATACATAATGCGGTTATAATAAAATATTGTGCGATTATTTTCATATAATTAAAATTAATATTTATTTATTTTTTAGAGAATACGAGGGAAGCGGCGCTTCCAACGCTTCTAATCACGGCACGCCACTGTAGGAAACAGAGTTAGTTCCATTTATAACATGTAATTAATTCTATTAGAAGAATTATAAAAATCAAAAAGTCTAAGTTCAACTATTTTATTCTATCTGTTTCCGTTTCGAAAAAAAATAGAAAGAACTTTCCCCATAGAAAAAATTTCAAATTTTTAAGGCCGTTTACTGGATATCGTGTGCATAATCTTAAACAGTCAGCCATAAACAATGCAATATATTTTATTGGCGCAAAATTGATAGTTACACTAACAGGACATCAATTCCATGGTCTTTTTCAAGTGTCCCAAAGCGAAACAGTAAAAATTGCTCTCTATAAAATTTACGAAATATATTGTATAGTACAAATAAAAGCTTACATAATTCTTAGATGTGTATTTAAAACTGAAGCGAATAATAAAATTCATAATAGATTGTCATTCTAGGTTTGAAAAATTAATTAA